ACACTCCTCTGCAGGGGCATGTGGGGTCAGACTGGGTGGTGCCTTTATGAAACTGGACAGGAGCTGTAAAGGCCAATGGCAATGAGCATGGAAAGCTCCCATTGCCAGTACTGGGTTGGTGGCTTGCTCACCCTGACGTCTCAATCGAAGCTAGTGAGAATTGGCAAAATGCACTGCACAGACTTGAACAAATGAGCACATTAATCAGGTAGGCCATTCAATCCCTTGAGCCTTCCGCACCATTCAATAAGATAATGGTAACAATCTAATTCTTACCTCAAATCCATATTCTTGCCTATCCCCGATAACCTTTTACCCCCTTGCATAACGAGGATTCATCCACCGTTGCCTTAAAAATATTGAAGGATTAAACCGCCACCACCTTTTCAAGAAAAGTGTTCCAAAGGCACTGAACTTCCAGAGAAAGAAATCTAATGAACACTGATGCCTCATTCTTGATTCCCCCACAAGAGGAGACATTCTCTCCATTTCCACCCAGTCATGTCCCCTCAGGATCTTCCATGTTTCAATGAAATCAACTTGTATTTCAAACTCCAACAGATACAGGCTTAGCCCTGACACATAAGATGACCCACTCTTTCCAGGTCTTAGTCTCTGAACTGCTTCCAACACAGTGACATCTTTCCTTATATAAGGAGACCGTTACTGTATACAGAATGCCAGATGTGGTCTCCGCAATGCACGAACAACTGAAGTGTAACCTCCTTACTTTTATATTCAATTCCTCTCGCAATAAATGAGAACATTTTTTTTCAGCTTTTCTGACCACTTGCTGTACCCCCAAGGTCTGGTAAGGCTATGTTGACTTTTATCTTTTTTATGAACCTTCTGTAATTCATGTACCAGGACACCCAGATCGCTCTGCATTTCAGAACCTCTGCAATCTCTCATCATTTAGATAATATGCTTTTTCTTCACTCTTTCTGCCTAAGTGGACAATTTCACATTTTCAACATTATGCTCCACTTGTCACGTTGTTGGTCACTCATTTAACTCATCTATAATTTTCAGAGCCTCCTCGTTGTCCTCTTCACAACTTAATTTCTGACCTAGTTTTGTCCTGTCAGCAAATTTTACAACCACTCATTCTGATCCTTCATCAAACTCCTTGATAACAACTGTAAATGACTGTGATCCCAGCTCTGGTCTCTGTGGCACACTGCTCATTGCAACTTGCCAACCTGAAAATAACCCACTAATACCTGCTTGCTGCTTCCCATTAGCAAGCCAATCTTCTATCCAAGCCAATCCTCTGTCTATGCCAATCTTCTATCCAATATGCCACCACCTACTGACACCATAAGTTATTATTTTTCACAATAACTTTCAATGTGGCACCTCACCAAATATCTCTGGTGATTGTGATTTTCCTTCATTCCTCCCTCCCTTCGTTGACTCTATTTCCTGATTTATTGCTGCTCCTGGGATGTATTGCCTACAGTGAAGACTGAAGTAAAATAGCTGATCAATCAATCTGCCTTTTCTTTCTTTCCATTCTGAAATCTTCAACCTCACTTTCTATTGGACCAACACTAACCTTGTGAACTTTTTAAAAGAAACTATTTGAAAAAACGCTTGATATTGTTTTTTGTGTTTCTGGCCAGCTGTCGCCTGTACTGTAATATTTCTCTGGTTGTTAATTTTTTTGACAATGCTCTGCTTTTTTTAAATATTCTGTCCAATCTTTTGACCTGCCACCTGTCTTCGCATCATGATCTACTTTTTAAGAGTCATAGAGTCATGGAGGTTCACAGCGTGGAAACTGGCCCTTCAGCCCAACTTGTCCATGCTGCCCATTTTTCACAATTAATCTAGTCCCATTTGCCTGCGTTTGATCTATATCCCTCCGTCTCTATTCCATCTATGTACCTGTCTAAATGTCTCTTAAATTGGAAAATTGTACTCATCTCCACCACTATCTCTGGCAGCCTGCTCCAGACACTCACTACCTTCTGTGTGAAAAAACTGCCCCATTTTTGTAACTCTCCCCTCTCATCTTAAACCTATGCCCTTTAGTTTTAGTCTCCCCTATCCTGGGAAAAAGCTGTTGGCTGTCTACCTTATCTATGCCTCTCATAATTTTATTGACTTCTATAAGGTCACCCCTTAGTCACCTAAAGTCCCAGCCTACCCAGCCTCTCATTATAACTCAAACCTTCCAGTCCCGGTAGCATCCGAGTAAATCTTTTCTTTAAACAACATTATCTTTAACATTTCTGGTAACCTGCAGATGGTACACCCATCCTTTGGAATTTTTCTCATCAGTTGGAAAGCATTTATTCTGCAATTATGAAATATTCCCCCTAAGTGTCTGCAACTGCATCTCTATTGACCTATCCTTTAATCTAATTTGCGAATTCACTTTAACCTGCTCTGTTCTCATGCCCTTATAATTCCCCTCATGCAATTTACTTTAAAAATCGTCTTGGACCCACTCCTTTCTCCCTCAAACTGAATGTAAAATTCAATCATACTACCATTGCGACTATCTAAGGGTACTGATTAATCCTTTCTCATTAGTCAATACCAGATCTAGAACAGCCTGCCCTCTGATCAGCTCCTTGCTCGAAGAAACTATCCTGAGAATATTTCATGGACTCTTCATCTAGGATACCTTGCCCATCCGACTTTTCCAGTTTAAATGTAGATGAAATCTCCGATGATTTTTGCTACCCATCTTTGACAAGTTCCCGACATTTCTTCCTTTATGTCCCACCCAATCATGTGACAACTCTTCAGAGGCCTGGACGTCATTCCCACCAGTGACTCTTTCACTTTGTAATTTCTCAATTCTATCCAAACTGTTTCCACACCTTGGTTTCCTGAACATAGGTCATCCCTCTCTATTGTGCTATTGCCAGCATTAACTAACAGAGCCACCCCTCCAACTTTTCTCAGATTCCTGTCATTTTTAAAGTAACAACCCTCCAGCCTTTTATATTAAGGTTGGAATTAGACCTCTCCATCTCTCTAAATAGGGAGAGACGATGAGAAGTGACCAAATCAAGCTAGAAATAGGATTAAGAGTAAACCAACATGAGCAAATTTGCCAACTTCCAGGTTTTAAATCATAGCATCATACTTTGCCAATCATTATTGCTCAAGATAAAAAAAAACACAATGAAAGGTGATGGACAAATAAATCTGAATTGATTGCTAATCTCCCTTGTTTGAACTCTGAGGCATGTAGGCTGGGGAAGAATGTTTCACACTGTTTCATTGAGAGGGTATATTCAAAACCAGACAGCCATGATCATAGATAGTAGGAACTGCAGATGCTGGAAAATCTGAGACAACAAGGTGCAGGGCTGGATGAACACAGCAGGCCAACCAGCATCACAGGAGCAGAAAGGCTGACGTTTTGGGCCTAGACCCTTCATCAGAAAAGGGGGAGGGGAAGGGGGTTCTGAAATAAATAGGGAGAGAGGGGGAGGCGGATAGAAGATGGATAGAGGAGAGGATAGGTGGAGAGGAAACAAACAGGTCGAAGAGGCGGGGATGGAGCCAGTAAAGGTGAGTGTAGGTGGGGAGTTAGGGAGGGGATAGGTCAGTCCAGGGAGGACGGACAGGTCAAGGGGGCGGGATGAGGTTAGTAGGTAGGAGATGGGGGTGCTGCTTGAGGTGGACCAGTAAAGGTGAGTGTAGGTGGGGAGTTAGGCCAGTAAAGGTGAGTGTAGTTTACCTGGACCATCTCTAACACCTCTCTCCCCTTCCTGGACCTCTCTGTCTCCATATCGGGCAACCACCTAGAAACCGATATTCATTTCAAGCCCACCGACTCCCACAGCTACCTAGAATACTCCTCCTCCCACCCACCTTCCTGCAAAAATGCCATCCCGTATTCCCAATTCCTTTGCCTCTGCCGCATCTGCTCCCAGGATGAGGCATTCCACTCCCGTACATCTCAGTTTTCCTCGTTTTTCAAGGACCGTAACTTCCCCCCCTCAGTGGTCGAGAACGCCCTCAACCGTGTCTCCCACATCTCCCGCAACTCATCCCTCACACCCCGTCCACGCAATAAGAACCAAAAAAGAATCCCCCTCGTGCTCACGCACCAGCCCACCAACCTCCGGATCCAACGCATCATCCTCCGACACTTCCGCCATCTGCAATCCGACCCCACCACCAAAGACATCTTTCCCTCCCCACCCTTATCTGCTTTCCGGAGGGACCACTCTCTCCGTGACTCCCTTGTCCACTCCACACTCCCCTCCAGCCCCACCACACCCGGCACTTTTCCCTGCAACCGCAGGAAGTGCTACACCTGCCCCCATACCTCCTCCCTCACACCCATCCCAGGCCCCAAGAAGACTTTCCACATCAAGCAGATGTTCACCTGCACATCTGCCAATGTGGTATACTGCATCCGCTGTACCCGGTGTGGCTTCCTCTACATCGGGGAAACCAAGCGGAGGCTCGGGGACTGCTTTGCAGAACACCTATGCTTGGTTCGCAATAAACAACTGCACCTCCCAGTCGCGAACCATTTCAACTCCCCCTCCCATTCCTCAGACGACATGTCCATCTGGGCCTCCTGCAGTGCCACAACGATGCCACCCGAAGGTTGCAGGAACAGCAACTCATATTCCACTTGGGAACCCTGCAGCCCAATGGTATCAATGTGGATTTCACAAGCTTCAAAATCTCCCCTCCCCCTACCGCATCCCAAAACCGGTCCAGCTTGTCCCCGCCTCCCTAACCTGTTCTTCCTCCCACCTATCCCCTCCTCCCACCTCAAGCCACACCCCCATCTCCTACCTACTAACCTCATCCCGCCCCCTTGACCTGTCCGTCCTCCCTGGACTGACCTATCCCCTCCCTAACTCCCCACCTACACTCACCTTTACTGGCTCCATCCCCGCCTCTTCGACCTGTTTGTTTCCTCTCCACCTATCCTCTCCTCTATCCATCTTCTATCCACCTCCCACTCTCTCCCTATTTATTTCAGAACCCCCTTCCCCTCCCCCTTTTCTGATGAAGGGTCTAGGCCCGAAACGTCAGCCTTTCTGCTCCTATGATGCTGGTTGGCCTGCTGTGTTCATCCAGCCCTGCACCTTGTTGAGCCATGATCATAGAATCTGTACTGTGTGGAAGCTGGCCATTCAACCCGTCAAGTCCATACCAACCCTCCAAAGAGCATCCCAGCTGATAGCCCTACATTTCTTATGGCTAATGCACCTAGCCTGGACATGATGGGCAATTTATAATGGTCAATTCATTTAGCATTCGCACCTTTGGACTGTGGGAGGAAACTGGAGGAAACCCACACAGACACGGGGGTTGGTGGGGGGGGAGCGGGGGCTGTGTGTGTGGAAAATGTGCAAAACTACACAGAGACAGTTGCCGGAGGGTGGAATTGAACCTGGATCCCTGGCACTGTGAGGCGGCAGCACTAACCACTGAGCCACCATGATTGTTTCAACAGCCTGAGGTATGTACAGACACATGTACATAAGAAACGGAAGATGCCATTTCCAAAACACAAAGGCAAAAGTTCAGAAGGACGTCAAGCACAAAAACACAGCTTTTCCCATTCTGTACTCACAGGAACTGGAGCGCTGGGAGGTGAGCGAAGGCATATTCAGAAATACGCCTGAACTTTGCATTCACAAAAGTTCTGTAAGACAAAGATGACACGTTGTTGAATCGTTAATACCTGAGTCTAAATGCTTTTTCCATACACAATCTAATTCTGTAAATGGAAGCATCGGCAGAATACAGGCTTTATTTTCTGAATTATATCAGTCTTTGCTCAGTCACATGTTCAGAAGGTGGTGGGTTCAAGCCTCATTCTTGGGATTCAGTACATCAACCAGTTAATGCTCAAGTGTATTATGCAGGAGTGACACATTGCCAGAGACAGTATTTTGTGGTGAGAATATACTGGGCCATTCATTACCTGTCCAGCAATATCAGTGATAAAACCTATCTGCTCAGCTGATAGAGCACAGTGTTAGATACAGAGTAAAGCTTCCTCTACACTGGCCCTAATCAAAAACTGCCAAGACAAGGACAGCACAGGGTTCGATACAAAGTAAAACTCCCTTTACTCTTCTGAACTGAGAGTGCACTTTGATCGAAATTGTCCCCATCAAACATTCCAGGACATATACAGCAGGGTTAGATACAGAGTAAAGCATCCTCTACAATTTTAAAATGAGAATAAAGCCTACTCTACACTTTTCCATTCAAACACTCTTGGGTCAGATACAACACAGGATTAGATACACAGTTACGCACCAAGTACTTGTTTAAACTGGGAGTGAAGCGAGCCAAAGGTTATCTTCATCAAACCCACATGGGAAAGATACAAATCAGAGTTAGGCACAGAATAAAGCTCCCTGAAAGTAAAGATCCGACTGTACTGCACATAGTAAATCCACAGACACACAGTTACGTTCACCTGCAAGGTGATAGTCAATGCTGTGAACTGCTGTTGTTCTTTTATCCAAAAGAAACAAACTCTGAAGTGGCCCTCCAGGTATAATGTGAAGGCAATCAAACTGCTTGACTTCAATCAAAATGAGATGCAGCTGAAGTGACACAGAGCGCAAATTTGCAACATTTGTATTATTTAATGAGATATCCACGAACAAGGAGCACTATTATTTAATAAGTATGGGAGTGTCACACTCAGGAATAAGGGGCACTATTATTTAATAAGTAC